ACGATGACAATAAGTGTCGAAACGTCGTTTGTTTTTATCTTGTTTTATCCATGTTATTGTTCTAATTCTAATATATATTTATATATTTAATTACATTGTCATCGTCGTTCTTATCGGAAATAAACTGTTTCATTTTTGGCTCGTAACCCTTCTCATTTTACTTTTATTTAATTTATTATTTGAGCCATTCTACATTGCTTTTTTTTAAATAAAATTATATATTTGTCAGTATTACATATAAAAAAAATGCAAAAGTACATTTTTAAATTGATTTTTAAAAAGTAACGGAAAAGTAACGAAAAGTTATTTTTCAAGTAACGGTAACTGTAACGAGTTACTTTTAAAAAGCGATAACTGTAACTAGTTACATTTGTTACTCGGTAACGAGTAACTGTAACTAGTTACTTTTAAAAAGTAACTTTCCATTCCCTGTAAGAATGTCTCCCAGCAAAACAGTTGACATAGTATAAAACAATGAATTATTTAATATTTTATACTTAACATTAAACAAAAATGAAATAATTTATTGTATTACACTATGTAACCTGTTTCTTTTGTTTGAAAACACCCATAATAATCATCTTTGTAATTTATCTTCGTATCTGAAATATTCAAATTTAAGCGCGTGTACTTTTCTCAAAATGGCGACAGATCATGTGACTTGGGATCACCTACATCAAAGGTGCCGACGCTTAGGGAGCGGTCGAGTTGCCACTACAAATGCTTCGAAGCGTTTGATTAACCAATCAGAAACAAGAATTTTACAAATTAACCAATCAAGAAATGCTTCGAAGTATTCGTAGTGGCAACTCGACCGCACCTGTTTGCGCCGTTATGTGTGCAAGGAAATGTCTCACAATGCCAACGGACACTTGTACAAAATAACTCTGTTTTTTATTACAGCCAGACAGATACAAAACTTATGAAAACGGTAATGCTCGGTTCGAACTTGTACAGACAGTAATGTTCACTCTCGCAGTGCGCAAATCATGAGAGTAGAGGGGATAAAGCGCTGTCGGAGCGCCGCAAACTAAACTTAGCACGGAAAAACTGATAGGCGCTGCACGCAACCAAGAGCGGGATCTTTGATATTAAAAGTAGCTAATAAAAATGTACAAAACCCTATAGATACGCAAACATACTGCGCGCCTTGATATAGCCTATCGAAATGAAACAAAAAACAAAAGAAATAATGCTCAGATTCGCATTTGATTTACAGAACATGAGATTCAAGTACATTGTAATGATATTTCATAAAACGCTTGTAACGATGCCCCCCTAAAATGCATCGTTCCCGCGTGGTGCCAACGAGAGTAGGAGCGAGGCGCCTGCTCGCATGTTAAAGTAATTCGCAGGAACAGCAGCTGCCGTTGGAACCGCCAGTCTCGCCGAAAGGTACCGACCGTCGCCGGGGACCGCCGATCGGAAATCTTCTCCCACGAGAAGCCGATCGGCGGAAAATACCGCGACCGGCCGAAGTATTGCGAGCGAGACTGGCGGTCGAGTATAAGATACCGCGATATCAAGCCGCGCGAGGCATTTTTGTCTTCACCGCTTTCCTGATACATCCGATCCGATTACCAGTTCCTTAGCTCACGATACCGATCCATCGACTCGCTCGTCCGACGAACCTGAGGGGTAGGGTGTACCCTGCCTCTGCCGGGCGCTCCCGGCCGCCGAACGAGCCGTCCAGGAAACGCATCTCGAGCACGCAACCAGATTCACGTGTTGTTCCGACGAACCTGAGGGGTGGGGTGTACCCCGCCTCTGCCGGGCGTTCCCGGCCGCCGGACAACCGTAATTAGTTAGTACTCCCACCTTCCTTACCTTCTTTTCCGCATCCCGAAAATCCCGTCTTGGTACTTGACATTCGAAAAGGGGTAGGGCGCTCCCTGCCTCTGTCGGGCGTTCCCGGCCGTCAAGTACCAACTCCGTTTCCTTTCCTAGCATTGCCAAAATTACGTATCGCGCCGCGAAACGACGCTTGCTGGCGTATACCCGCGTTCCGCCGCGTTGCAGATCGCCGTCGAGAAAACCCGCGACCGCCGGTATATATCTCGCGCCGTTTAGGGTTAGTTTTTGTTGTAGAGTCCGCGTCCGTTTCTGCGTTAATATATATATACATTTCTTTTCTGTTGTCCGCGCTCGTTTGTATATATATATATATATTCTCTGTTACCCGCGCTCGTTTATTTTCTTCGCTGTATTATTGTAAGTCGCGTCCGTTAATTATATATTCCTATATGTTATTTGTCTCTTCGATTTTTATAATTTCCGTACCATCTAGCTTGTCTTAATAAACTATGTTTCTCGTCTAACTATTACTTTCGCATTAGTATTTTCTTTACCGATTTCCGACGCTTCACATAATTTTCCGCCGCCCCGTTCCGACGCGAATACTCCTCCAGCCGAACCTTTTTTTATACGATACGCAAATTTTTCCGACGAGCTAGTCCGAGTATAAAAAGCAGGTAGTTACACGCTTTAAAATAGAATTATAACAATGTTAATTATTAAACGCATTAAGCTTTTCTTCAATCGGCAAAACTGCAAGTTTGGAAGCTGGTCTTTTATAAGAACCGGTTGCGGTTTTGACAGTCGCTGCCCTCACAATGTTATCTTCTCCCAGGAAGATTTCTAAAATTCTGCCAAGTACCCATTTCAAGGGTGGAGTACCATCCTCACGACAAATGACTAGCTGACCGATTTGAATGGAAGGTCCATGATTAGCACACCATTTTATACGATGCTGTAACTGAAGCAAATAATCATTCGACCAACGCTTCCAAAAATGCTGTCGCATCTGCTCTAGATGCTGCCATCTCGTTAAACGATTAGTTTGTATTTGCATGAGATTAGGTTCTGGATATGACGTCAGAGTGTCGCCAATAAGAAAGTGCCCTGCAGAAATGTAACTCATGTCATTAGGGTCCAATGACATAGCTGTTAATGGCCTCGAATTAAGAATAGCCTCCACTTGTGATGTAAATGTTGATGCTTCTTCGAAAGTCAGTGGCGTTTCCCCGACTATTTTATAGAAATGCCTTTTGAACACCTTCACGGTAGTCTCCCACAAACCGCCAAAATGTGGTGCACGTGGAGGTATGAAGTGCCAGTTGATTCTTTCCTTGGCTGTTTCATTTATAACTTTAAGCTGATGCTCCTCCTGACTACATAGAGCTCTGAGCTCTTCTAATTCACGATTGGCTCCTGTAAAAATAGTTCCATTATCCGAGAAAACATTTGCAGGCTTACCTCTGCGAGCGATGAATCGCTTGAACGCATTAAGAAATGCATCCGTTGTCAAGTTAGATACTACTTCTAAATGTGCAGCCTTTGTTGCCATACACACAAATACCGCTACGAAAGCCTTGAGACGTTTACTGTTTCTCCGCGAACCTTCACGAATGTAGATCGGCCCGCAATAATCTACTCCTGTGCTATTGAATGGCTTTGATAGCGTAACTCTCTGCATCGGTAGGTCCCCCATCAATTGCTCCGAAAATCGCGGCTTCGACCTGAAACATTTTATACAACCTCGCAATAATCTGCGGACTGTACCGCGCGCCTTGATCGGCCAATATTTTTGGCGAACAGCAGCCATGTTGCGTCTGCTCCGGCATGCAAGCTCCTCAAGTGCTCGTGCTCTATGATGATCTCTGTAAACCTGGAATGATAAGGCAATAATATTGGATGTTTGATATCCGATGACAATTGTGCGTGCCTTAATCTGCCTCCAACTCTTAACAACTGATCCTCATCCAAAAATGGATTTAAATATTTTAGACAACTCTGTTGCAAAATTGTCTTGCCTTTTTTGAGCCTATTGATCTCTTTGTAGAATGCAATCTCTTGCTCTCTTCTCATTAAGCTCTTCTCTGCTCTTTCTAGTTCGCTTGCTGTTAATGGACCATATGCTTTTTCTTTCTTACAATTATACAGAAAACGCAAACATGTGGCCGCGATACGAATTCTTCTATTAAAATTGCTGTATTTTTCAAACGGACTCGTGTCGCTGCAGGCTGATACAGCCACTACTTTCGATTTGTCACGGTCTTCTAATTGACTTTCATCATAATCTATTTGTTTGTGCTGTTCCTCTGGCAAGTGCTGTTGATGCAACCATTGAGGCCCATTCCACCAAATTTGCGACTCTAAGGATTCCTGAATGCTCGCCCCGCGCGAAATCAAATCTGCTGGATTTGATTTACCTTGAACATGTCTCCAATCTTCGATTGCTGTTGAATCTTGAATATCGCCCACTCTATGAGCTACAAAGACCGGCAACTTCTTGTTAGTAGCCTTAATCCAGTATAAGACTATTGATGAGTCGGTCCAATAATATTCCTTGCAAATAGGGATTTCTAAAGATTTCTTGACCTTTTCTGCTAGGTGGACCAAGAGCTGTGCGCCGCACAACTCCAGCCGTGGTGTTGATAATACTTTTATTGGAGATACGCGTGATTTAGAGCATAACAAATGTACTTCGACGGCTCCGTGCGCGTTAAAACTGCGAAGATATATACAGGCGCCATAGGCGCGCTCACTAGCGTCCGAAAATCCGTGAATCTCTACGCGTGTGTCCCCTTCTGTGAAGTTGGTTGTGACTCTGAGAGGTATCTCAATCTTGTTAACCTTCAACAAGTCCTGAATGAATTGAGCCCATTCCGCATTGATTTTTGGAGGTAATGGCTCATCCCAATCTAAATTGCTTCTTCAAATAGTTTGCATCAAGATCTTCGCCTTCGTGATTACTGGCCCGAGCAATCCTAGGGGATCAAAGATCTGTGCAATTTGTGATAGAACTATTCTTTTGGTGTACGTCTTTGGAAACGACTTTTCAGCCTGAAATCTGTACTGAAATGCATCCTTGGCAGGATTCCAATTAATACCTAGAGTCTTGGCTGATCCAAATTTGTCCAACTCGAGTAGTCGATTGTCTGATGACGTGTCTTGCATCTCGTCGAGTAAACTAGCGCTATTGGAAGCCCACTTCCGTAGCCTGAAGCCTCCTGCTTCAAGCAATGCAGATATCTGATTGCGTATTTCCATTGCTTCTGTCAATGTGTCCGCTCCTGATATAAAGTCGTCGACGTAGAAATCTTTGCATGCCGCAGCCGCACCCTTTGGAAACTTGTGAGCCTCGAGATCCGCCAATTGTTAAATAACCTTTGTTGCTATAAATGACGCTGGCACAGTCCCGTAAGTTAGCGTCAACAGTTCATAAGTCTTAATGTTTTCGGATGGATCATTCCTCCATACTATTCTTTGTAATGATGTTTGTTCAGCATCCATCTTGATCTGCCGATACATCTTCTCAACTTGCTCGTGCTGCTGGCAGTTTTTATGACGCAATGATGTGGCATGTAGAAATGTGGCCAAACGTTGTCGACTGAATTAGTGAACTCGCGCATGTGTCCAAGCGCTAAATATTCGTGTATAAATTTGCTGTACTCCACCTTGAGCTGTGGGTCACGCTTAAATCGTCGCTCCAGACTCTTAAATATCTGGATCGCGATTTCTTTCGAATTTCCTAAACGTTTCATCATATGCTCTTTGACTAGAAGCGAAACGACGAATCTTCCATGTTGATCCCTTTTGTGAGTTTTCATGAAGTGGTCCTCACAAGAGCACTCCTCAGGAGTTCGTGTATCTTTTCTCTCGCAACTTTCAATTTGCCAAAATTTTGTGAGAGCTTTATTCAACGGATCAGTTGTGGCTATACTGCAAACAGATCCCTTGGATAGCTGGCTAGCACTGGTGCAATTTCCTGAAATGATCCAACCCAAGAGAGTGTTCTGCCACGTTGGCTGGCTTTTTGCTGATTTAATCGTTCCGACGGCCAATAGCTCAAAGAAAATTTCCGCTCCTAGCAGCATGTCGATGCTCGACGGTTTATCGACTTGCGGGTCCGCAAGTGGAATGTTCTTCGGAATGTGTAAGCCCACTCTATCCACCATACTGCAAGGTAGATCCTGGGTAATTCTCTCGATCACCAAGCAATCTAATGTCCTCTTGAACCCAGTGATTCTAGATTGTATCATTACTTTTGCTGAATTTCTGACTTGAGTCTGCTGCTGAGCCAATCCGTAAATCGGCACACTGATTGATTGTAGTTTAAGCCCCAGCTCCTTACAACAGTTACCTGTAATAAAGCACGACTGTGAACCATTGTCGAGTAAGGCTCTGACGGATTTAATTTTTCCTGTAGCGTCCTGCACATTGATTATCGCTGTTGCTAATAAAACCTGTTGTGCTTCCTTCACTGACGTACAGCTTATGCTAGCTGTTTTCGAATTTTCTTCGCTAGATTCGCTAGGCTTTGTACCTGCTTCCGATACGCTTTTGACAGCTTGTTCAAAATGCAACAATGTATTATGTCGTTTGCTGCACTTACGACATTCACCGGCTGAGCAATCTTTGGCTTGATGCGCTCTTTAGACAATTAAGGCACATCTTGCGAGTCTTTGCCTCCTTTATTCGCTGATCCACCTGAAGCGCTAAGAAATCTTTACATTTGTAAATACTATGATTTTCCAAGTGGCAATACGCACAGCCGTTCTTCGTGGTAACTACGTGTGCTGCAATCTTTTTATTCTGCGATGACTTTTCACTCGCTATCTTTGAATGCTGATCTCTTGATGATGCTTCCAATGCTCTGCAACGTTGAGTTAAAAATGTTATAAGTTGTTTGAAAGAGGGAATACTACCTCTATCTATGGTAGTTTCCCATTCTCTGGCAGTTGCGTGATCTAACCGAGTTGTAACTATATGTAACATTAGGTCGTCCCAATGCTCTATTGGCCTCTTCAACGCCTTAAGCGCTCGTATGTGCTTTACCACCGTATCCAAAAGCTTTCTCAAAACAACATGATTGTCTTTACTCATATGCGGAAGATCAAACAACGCCTTTACATGCTTACTGATTATCAAACTAGGATCGTCATATCTCTCATTGAGCATTTGCCACGCTTCCCTGTAATTTTCTGCGGAAGGTTCGAGTGACGAAATTACGTCATACGCCTCGTCTTTTAGCGCCGATACCAAATACTGCATCTTTTGAACATCTGGCAGTGCAGCATTCTGATGAATCATACTGTGGAACATGTTACGGAATGCTGTACACTCGTCATATTTGCCTGAAAATGTAGGTAAGGTTATACGAGGCAACTTCAAAGAATCATTTGCGGAAATCGTTCCTTGCGTTAATGGCGTACTCTCTCTTGCGTGAGGGAGATTATGAAACGAGCCATTAGGTTGTTTCATTCTATGTCTTTGCTCTATGAGCATCTCCAATTTAGTAATAATTATGAAATATTTACCTTCGAATGATTCTCTTTCCTCCTCTTGATTCATCTCACTTTGATCGCTATTATCTAACGCTTCGATCCTACCTTGAATTCCGTTGAACTCATTCCAACATGGTGTGAACCTTTGTAAACGAGCACGCAGCTCTATGATGGAAACGCTCTGAATGTCCACAGCATCCACATATGTTTGAAACCGCGTGCACTGCGACTTTAGTGTCGTGCGGCGTTGCTTTAATACCTTAAGCTCATCCTGTACGTTTTGCATGGCTCTCACGATTTTACGCTTTGCGTGCGAATTGCAGATTTTAGGTTAAAACGCACTTCGTAACGTCGCCGTCTCTGAATACACTTGATAATGACTTTGTATCTCTCACGAATGCTATAAGATGCAGTTTATATCCATCCACGAGCACGCACGTGAAAATAAGAAAAAGATGGCTGGCCTCTTCCGACGCCTTGATGCAGTGCAAGTTGATGCCGGACAAAGGGCCTTTTCTCAACGACAGTTCTGTATCCTCTGCCTGTATCCGGCTCGAAGGACCAAAAAATGTTTGCGCCGTTATGTGTGCAAGGAAATGTCTCACAATGCCAACGGACACTTGTACAAAATAACTCTGTTCTTTATTACAGCCAGACAGATACAAAACTTATGAAAACGATAATGCTCGGTTCGAACTTGTACAGACAGTAACGTTCACTCTCGCAGTGCGCAAATCATGAGAGTAGAGGGGATAAAGCGCTGTCGGAGCGCCGCAAACTAAACTTAGCACGGAAAAACTGATAGGCGCTGCACGCAACCAAGAGCGGGATCTTTGATATTAAAAGTAGCTAATAAAAATGTACAAAACCCTATAGATACGCAAACAGCACCCTTAGTGTCGTAATTGGTTAAACTGTGATATTACTAGCATAACTGAAGTAACTGAAATAACTAGCGCCAGATACTACATATATATGTAGTATCTGGCGCTAGTTATTTCTAATTTTGTCGGGGAGGATATCCTCCCCGACAAAATTAGAAAATACTTAAAATAATTAATACCTTAATCTTAAATTATAAATTCAGTTTCTCAACCGGTTTTATGTCTCTCTTAGGTCTGACCTTAGCAATACTAATCTTCGCTTCGTCTTCTTTCTGAATTACGACCTGTTTACCCTCACTTTCTGGTTCTTTAACAATTTTCGACTCTTTCAAATCCTTTCCTTCTTCCTTTTGCATCAAATAGGCCTCTTCCTTACTATAAAACTCTCCAGCCTTTACAATTTGATCTGTATGTCTTTTCCATACTAATCCTTCTGCATCTAACGTTCTACATAAATAAGTTCTAACACCTAATTTATTCTTAATAATCGCTTTACGCCAAGTTGGCTTCGTTGGACACTTATAATCTCTCACATATACCATTTTTCCTGGCTCAAACTCAATTTCTCTATTTTCCTTAAAATATCGCACCTGCTTCTCTCTAGCCTTTTCCCTTTCAACAAACTCAACCTAGTTCTAATTTTGCGACCAAACATCAATTTTGTTGGACTTTCTCCTACGCACGTATGTGGCGCATTCCTATATGATGCTAAATACCTATTAATTAATGTAGTTGTACTCACTGACGCATTTCGCTTATCTGCTAACGCTTTTAATAATCCTCTTTTAAAATTGCCCACTGCATTCTCTGCTAGACCGTTAATAGCTGGATGATACGGAGTTGACGTTCTATGGTTAATTCCATTGTTCTTACAAAAATTAGCAAATTTCTTCGACACAAACTGTCTACCATTATCCGAAAATATCATGCGCGGAAGACCGAAACGAGCAAAACATTCTCTTAATCTCTCTATAGTCCCCCTCCCGCACTCATGTTAGACATTTCAAATACTTCCGGCCATTTAGTAAACGCATCAATTATAATTAAATACGTTTGACCTAAGGTCCTGCGAAATCAATATGCACTCTATCGAACGGAAATTCTGCTTCTAGGAACTTAATTAATGGTGAGTTACTAGGATTGCTGGCCACAGCTCTACAAGCTTCGCACTGCTTAACATAATCTTTTATTTCTTTATCAATTTTAGGCCACCAAATATATTGCCTTGCTACCGCTTTCATCTTTGCTATTCCTAAATGAACTCCGTGTATTTCTTCTAACAGAGCTTTCCTAAACTTAAATGGCACAATAATTCTATATCCCCACATAATAAGCTCACTTTCGATACTAATTTCATCCGCCTTATTTAAAAATTCTTTTACATCTTCGCCAACTTCTTTCGGCCATCCATTTCTCGTATACAAAAATACTTTACTTAATACTTTATCTTTTCTTAATTCTTTTCTAATCTGTGCTGCGTCAATGGGCATACGTTCTGCTGTTACAAAATGAAAATAATATTCATCTTCAACTTCTTTAATTTTACCTCGTCTGGGCAACCTAGATAGACCATCGGCTCCTCCATTTCCGGTACCTTTAATATGCTCGAATTTATATTGAAAACCGCTTAAAAACAAGGCCCATCTTTGTAGCCTACCTGCCATCTGCGAAATACTTTTATGTTCTCCAAACAAGGCTAATAACGGTTTATGATCCGAATACAAAATAAACTCGTTACACATTAAATATTGATAAAATTTATTCGCTGCCCAATAAATAGCTAATGCTTCTTTATGTATCACAGAATAATTCTTTTCCGCTTCATGTAATACTCTGGACGCGAAAGCAACTTTTCCGTGCCATCCGGCATAATATGCAATAATACTGCTCCTATGCCTACCTCTGACGCATCACAGACTAATTTAAGCTTCCATTCCTTATTAAAATGTACTAAATTCCTATCTGAAATTAATTCGCTTTTAATTTTTTTAAATGCTTCCTCGCATTTCTGAGTCCATTTAAATATTTTACTGTTTTGGAGTTCATACAAGGGTGAAAGTACTTGCGACAGCTTAGGTATAAATTACCATAATAATTAAACATGCCTATAAAAGTTTTAATTTCTGCTTTATTTTTAGGTGTAGGCACTTATACCATGGCTGCTACTTTTTCAGGATCCTTATGTAAACCTTCCTTATTAATAACACGTCCTAAATATTTAATTTCGGGTTGAAAAAATACTGATTTCTTTAAATTAATTCTGAATCCTGCCTCTGAAAGGCGTTTAAATACTTCTTTTAAATTTTGTAAATGTTCTTCTTTGTTTGCACCCGTAATTACGATATCGTCAATGAAATTAATTACATTTTTAATACCTTGTAAAACTTTTTCCATAGTTTTCTGAAAAATTGAACATGCTGGTTTGGTTCCAAAAGATAACCTTTTAAGCAAGTAAATTCCCTTATGCGTACTCCAAGTCAGTAGTTTACTTGTTTCTTTCGAAACTTCCAACTGATTATACGCTGCTGTAAGATCTAACTCAACAAAATTACCTTTTTAAAAAAAGGGAAAAAAGGCGCCAAGTGTGCGTGTTAGCCTCACAAAATAAAATGTAATCTTTTCAAATTACGCCAATTGTGAAAGGAATATATTTTAACAATATATATAACATATATTTTATTTCAAAAAGTA